CCTGAGCTGAAATCGAGTTGAATGCGTGGATGCCTGGGTGGCTCAGTCAGTTGGGCGTCCGACTTCGGCTCAGGTCATCATCTCACAGCTTGTGAGTTCAAGCCCCCCGTCAGGCTGTGTGCTGACAGCTCGAGCCTGGATCCCGCTTCAGATTCTGTGTCTCCCCCTCTCTCTGCCCCCCCCCCCCACTCTGTCTCTCTCTCAACAATAAACAACAAAGAAGAGTTGGATGCTTAACCAACTGAACCACCCGGGGGCCCGAGGAATCTGCACCCTAAACAGGGGCACGTGCTGCCCTTCTGAATCCCCACATGGAGGGTGGGGTAGTTCTTATACAGCCTTGTTACCCTCCTCCCTCAGGGAAAGGCTGTCATGTTCACTATACAAACTGGGGGCACTATTCACATTCAGTCATTGTGCCTATATGTAGTTGTTACAACTTCCCAACAGATGTCAGTGGAATAACTTGGCGAAGGGGCATCAGTGAGCCATGACTCCCTTCCAAGACCGGCTGAAGTTACTTGGGATCCTCAGCTAGTGTTGGCACGAAAAAGGACCTGTGCCATGTCGGGGTATTTGAGAGCAGCTATTTTCATCCGTGCCTTTGCCCCTTGATCCTGTTGCCAAATGACAAACGTCAAGCTCACTCCCAATATCCCCTCTACTGGTAAGGTTCTATTTCTTAAGCAGAATGGTGGTTTCAGAGGTGTTCGTTTTATTGTAAGTTACGTACATGTTACATATATTCATTTTGAATGCTTTGATACAATAAATAAAAAAGGAAAGCATACATATACAAATAAGAATGCCATTACCATGGGGAAGACCTTGAATCTGCTTAAGTTTTTCTTCAATTAGCCTATTCGTAAATCTCAGTACTGTAACTATTATTAGTTCGCAAACATGTCACAATGAACCTCCAGCCTTGATGCTCGGGTTATAAAGCATTCTCCCGTTAAAGCATTTAGAAAGAATAGTAATGCTTTATTTTTTTTTAAAGATCGCTTTAGACACTAGGGCAATTTTTCTATTGAAACTTGTTACAATTTGTACTTGCGGGGCAGGCGTGATGGCAGGCTATTTCTTCAGCCTGTCTCTAGAATCTAAAACAGCTACTGGTTGGCAGGAATTTCTTTCAGAAAGCTAGTACATAGACACTCGAACATAACTAGCTGCTCTTGGCGGTATCCAAGAGACTTCAAAATTTCCGCTTAGTTGGAAAACTTAAAACCCGACCTTAAAAATGACGTTTGGGTGCAGGATCTCCTTGAGGTGTCAACCCCGTGACAGGGACTGCTGGCTGTGCTTGTGGTCATCCCCCACGGCTTCCTCAGCAGCGAGTCCTGAATTGGCCTGTGGCAGCCAGAATAAAGCCTATTGTTTCCTATTCTCTTCGTGGCTAGTAGGATCAAGTGTCTTAAGTTTGCATTGATAAGCCTACGTGATGTACCTTTGTGAGAAGCGTTGCTAAAGGAAGCGGGCAGAAATGCTGACAGAAGGTTTCTAGCGTGCAGCTGTCTGCGACCAGGACGTGGAAGCCACATGTTGAGAACGGGGAGGACCAACGTAGAAGGGACTTGGATTCCCGACCCTGTAGTGTCACAGCAGCCCTGCACGGCCTTCCGGACTTTTACATGCACAAGAAAATAAACTTCTCTCTTGTTTAAGTCACTACTGTTTCGGGACACACACTAATAAATAATGCCAAATCTGAGTCTAACGTCCTTAACCTAAGAAGTGGACGCAGTGGCAGTGACATCTACTGTTAAGATGACGGAGGGTGGAAGCTGTTTCCTCACAGAGAACATCCTGTGTCACAAGCGGATATTTTACGAGGTGCTTAACTCCATAAATATTTGACTTCCTAACGGTAAAGCCTGCAAGTGCACCTATGGCTTTGGAAAGAAGCATCAAGAACATCAAAAAGTAACTGCCTTTAGACCAGCTTAGGATGCAAAATGACTGAAGTCCCTTCCCATAAGCGAACTATAACGAGCAATTTAAACAAAACAAAAATGGTATGTTTTATTTACAATACTCAATGCATTTTACAAAGAACATATTTGCATTCCCTAAGTCTTTTGGAAAGTAATTCCAGTTTGTGCAATGAGTTTACAGTAAAGTCTTAAGACATCTCTTAGACATCTTAAACCTAAATTCTCAATTTTGAGAGATATTTCACACTACGTTAATAGAGGACTGTTTTTAATTAAGAAAAACTAAACTCTGTAGTTAAATATTGCCCTTCAATTATTTTTAACCCAAATACAAACTGGACTAGCCTATGAAATAATACCATTAGATTTGGATAAATTATTTTCACTGTTCCCCTCCCCTCCCCAAATGCATGCACAAAGTAAACATGGTAAATTACATTAACAACATTTTATTTCAACACTTTTTTTGGACTCTCTCAACTATTGTTTTGCTCAAGGTGGGGTCGGATAGGTAGAATTCCAGTCTGGGGAAAATCCTAAACCCTGCTCCAGAACAGGAAAGGATTTGCAGTAAGTATGCGGACTCCAGCCAGGATTAGAGAGATTTTTTGAGTAGGTTCTTTTGCTAATCAGAACAAGGTTCCACTTCAGGCCTGACAAAGCCTAAAGAGATCAGTTATTTCCCTATTAACAGTTTGGGGAGCATCTAATCCAAGCCTCCAAAGGACAATAGGCTCCTCTCTCTCCTCTTCTCCCTGAATCACTACCTTCATTTTAGTGTCTTCTGAGGTTGATGATGGAGAACAGTTCCTATGTTCAGATTCCAGAAACTAACTGGATGCCATATAAAGATCTTCTGGAACAGGTAAAAAGCACTGAATGATACTGTAATTGTGCAAGAATTTTCATCTCATGCATATGGAAGAAAAGAAACATATTAATTTATCACTCATAGCTGCCATCTCTTAAAATCCATGTACTGGCTCTTGAGCTAGAGAGAAGAGACAGAGGCATCTCCACGCTGGCCCCACCTGCTTAGCAATGTACTACAACTCTCCTCAAAAGTCAGGGTCTCAAACACCCACCGTGGGGGGTCGTACAGAAGATACTAAGCTGGAGAAATAAAGTCCAACATTGGACATGGCTGACAAAATTCTAAGACAAAGAAATGGTGAGGTAGAGTTGAGAGAGTTCAACTGAGTTTTCTGAGCACAGATCTTTTGGCACATTCTAAAATTATACAGACCCCTTCTCAAATTCTCTCCTGTGACACCTTTACAAAGTGCTGGCAACTTAGGAGTCCTTGGATCTATTGAGGAGACTTCTATGTAAAGCTAACAGAATAAAGTCATTTGAAGAAACAAACTCCTGGCAGTTTAGCTTACTTACCCCAGTGTTGAAGCAAATAAAAACAATGCTATCCATTTGCTGAATTTATTTAAACAAATCAATTTAGAAATATCATAGAATTAAACAAAACTTCTGACATGTAAACATACTGCCATGTTCCTGAAACAGATGTTAACACCTGATAAAAGTTAATAACCGCTTGTTAGGAAAGCTGTCCATTAATAAGGCCAGTCTTCAGCAAAACTAAAACCATTTTGTTTCTTTAGCTTTCCCAGTATGACAATGCAATACTATCAAAGCACAATCAGATATAATAAAGACAAGATTGGATGGACAGATCGGTACCATTGGTTACGCTGTTAAACAGTTTCGTTCTTGGCGCCACATAAAAACGAGCCAATCACATCAAATAAATCATGGCTTTTTTTTCTTTATCACAACTCACTAAGTGATGTTAATTATGGTCCTTGTCAAACACGTTTGGTAAAGGCTATTTACAGTGTACATGGCTGAGCATGCACTATTTATAGGTACAAAGATGCCTGCCAGTTTATTACAAGAGAATTACACAGTGCCTGAAAATGGTGAAGCATCTCACACGTCATTTAAATCAATAGTTTCAAGCAGAAAACGTTCCTTGTTTGACCACAATTGCAATAATTACATGAAAATTCTTATAAAAACACGAATCTCCCTCAAGAAATTGATGCATATTCTACGTACTATAGGTTAAGGCAGTAAAAAAATGTATTCCTGATAACTGGAGGTCTTGACAATGTCAATTAAAGCTGTCTGACTCTAGTTTTTCATTTTCCATCATATACTCAAAGTTCTGTCTGCATAACTAATTCGTGAAAGATTTCACTTCTAACATCGGAAATGGATTAGCAATGAAGAAGAGCGGACGTTGGGAAAAAGTAACTGCTAAGGAAAGGGGAAAACGTTAAGTCGGACTTTGCCTAGAAGTTTTCAAATCCTAAACAAGAGCATTATTTGTGAGTCTGAGCCTTAAAAGTATAAAACAAATACATATAGTTTACCTTTCTTAATTTAAAATATACTGAACTTTGAACAATTCAAGTAATAATGTAAGACTATCAAAAATAACTTCATAAGCCATACAAGCATCAACTGCATGTTCAATGTTTTAATTAAGAACTTTTTAAAAATTGTAAACTAAACCATGAGTTTAGTTAACAAATGATAAATGACCTTTTATTTGCACTTGTGATTCCTTTAATACAAATTGCTACCAACATATATGTAAAGATATGGCAGATTATGCATTTGATCAAAGCACTTTGATTTAAGCATAAAACAGATTCAAATGGTTTTAAGTTCCGTGCATAAGATCCAAGAGGCCGCCTACCAATTTGTAGGCAACCCTCTTTCTAATCAGAATCCTTTATTCCTCAGCTGCAGATGAGACAGGGCACAATCTGTTGTAAACAGGGCACTGCTGTAAAACCAGGGTAATATTCTTAAATTAAGATCGTTCTTGTTCAATTGAAAAGACTTTCCCCAAGTGTCTTCCAGCACTGTAGTATATTCTGCTGACCTCTTAATTTCATAAATTAACTTTCCTTTGATTCCATTTTTATGGTGGTTGTTTTCACAGTTTTGTTTTAAAAATTGGTTTAAATTTATATAAAACTCTGTACATGTTCACAAATTATTGCATAAACAGCATAATCTTCCAGACAGTGTTTACAAACACATGTCCAATGCAGGAAAAATATATTCACGTTTCCCGTCTGGCTTTTTTCTTCTTTTTTATTTGTTTGGGAGATTCCCAGCTAGTTTCAGACTTGGCTAAGAGGAAAAAAAGAAAGAAAAAACAGGAGAAAATACTGTTATGTCTCAAAAATATCAAAGTACCATCAATGAAAACATGCTTTGAAATCCACTAATGACTCTTCAACCTTTATGTGTAACTTCTCAAGTCCCAGTCACATGTTTTTAGGTTATTCTATGGCTACCTTCCCCTTTTCCTTTGAATGCCAATGTATTATTTTGTTTAATCACATGAAAAGTACTGCACCGGTTTTGATCTAGAAAACCCATCATTTAACATGGCATTACCCATCTAAGTAATGAAAGTGAAAATGGGCAAAATGGATACTGAAGGTAGCTAAAAGGAGGAAAAGGGGACAGAAGGCACAGGACAATTCACAGCAGTCCCAAGAACATGTGCACAGAAAAAGGGAAGGACCAGATGGACAAGGGCATGTCTCAAGCCCTCCGCTGTCTATGTCCCTGGACACCCAGTCTCTCCTGGGGTGATTTCAGCCTCTTGACCCTCATAACTGACTGAGGTCCACAAGATGCCAAGGAATCTAGCCTGTGCAAAGGAAGGAAGGGCTGCTCTATTAATCTCTATCAGACTTCCAAGATTAGAAGTCTAAATATTTCAGACTTCTAAGAAATTAACTTTTATATAAACAGTACAGAAAACATACAAAAGAACTAAAAAGGAGAATTACTTACTCTGTGAAGGAGGCACACTATTTTGCTTAGTATTTGACTTGGATTTATCTGTTTCTTGTAGCATCGGTGGCACTTGGGAAGAGCTTTTGTCAGAATCACTTTTTGATAAAATAACAGATGGCTCGGTAGAAACAGCAGGTGGAAGAGTCTTGATAGGCTATTTTGGAATAAAATTAATATAAAATTAAATATCAAAGTAATACCAAGAGGCTGCTGAGGAGCAAGTAAATACTAAAATGATTTCCAAAGAATTTACTAGCAGAAGGGCTACAACTCGTGCGTGCCCTCTAGTGGCATAACCAAATAAATGTTTACCTACAACATCCATGAATAGAGGTGGAGATAAAAAGGGATGAAAAGCACAGAATTACAAGATGTTTACTGAATCTCAAGTAGGAGCGAATAATTCCATTTTCATGAACTTTTATATTTTCCTGTTCATTAGAAATAGGACGATTTGATGTTTCAGTGATTCAATGGTTTGTCCACTTCTCACCAACTCTCAACTCCTTGAAACTTTTTCATGTGAAAGACAAAGAAAATAGCTCCTTTCTGAACTCCCAGTAGGTGATACCACCCCCTTCTCTGCTTCTGGAGATGTAAGGGTTACTCAAACAGAGCAGCAACAGCTTGTTTCCCATGCAAGGGCAAAGACAGCCTATGCAGTCTATGCTAGCCTAAAACACTAGCAGACTAGGACTACTAGTCCTTCTCCATGAAAGTAAGTAGTAAAACTCATGTTCAAATCTTCAGAGTTTTATCCATTCTGGCAGTGAAATCATAATGTTGAGGGCCTAGACTCTTACTGCCTTGCTTCTCCTCTCCAGCCTGGAAGCAGAAAGGAGGCAAATTAACTGATTTGCCTCAGTGAGGCCTAACTGTTAATGGACGGTCAGGAGAGGAAGTATTTGGAGCGCCTGGAGGCTGGAACAGCAGGAGGTCAAGTCACCCTTTAGCTTTGCTTACAAATCCTGACTCTGAATATCGGAACAAGGGTAAGAAACATCACTATGTTTCTCTTGCCTCTCATTCTTCCAGGCTCTCTGGGTGTAAGAAAGCTCAGTGGAAAAGGAAACAAGAGGAAGCTGTGTGTACCCCAGAAATTACTAGGATCCCTTTCTTCTATTTTAGGTATCTGAAGCTGCATTTGTCTTGGTTGGTTCAGCTTTCTTAATGTTCTATTTACTTCATACCCAAAAGTTTTAGTACTTATTTCCAGTATTCTCCCCTTTATTCTCTCACTTAATCTATGTTAAGTCACAGAGGGACTCAAATAGTCTTTACAAGATGGCTTCTGAAAATGACTTTCTAACAACTACAACATCAAAATGTCAAATGACCTTCTGCAACCCTATTATTAAACCTACGCATGTACTGAGATTGCAGCCTTTCATCTCAAAAGGGAATTTTCCTCTTAGGGAATTAAAATCCAAACAGGAAGTATGGTTAAGATTTTATTTTAGTACAAGACTGTTACAAATTATTTCTTTTAGTGGTAACACAGGTTCTTTTTTTCTTTTTTTCTTTTTTTTTTTTAAAGGATTTTATGTTTAAGTAATCTCTATACCTACAACCTTGACATCAAGAGTCACATGCTCTACCAACTGAGCCAGCCAGGCATTCCTGTAACTCAGGTTGTCTAAAGTTGTTTCATTAAATATGTATGTTCCACAAAGGCTGAGATTGTTTTTTTGTTTTTTTTTTTAAAGTAGGCTCCATGCCCAATGTGGGGCTTGAACTCACGACCCTGAGAACAAGAGTTGGATGTTCTACTGACTGAGTCACCCAGGTGCCACAAAGGCAGAGATTTTTATGTTTTGTTCTTTGATATATAGCCTTTGAAATAGCGTGTGGCCCATAGTAGGTTCTCAACAAGTTTTTTGAATGTCTATATAAATGAACCATGAAACTCCAGTATACGATTTCATATATTTGTATATAACTTACCTTATGAGAAATCAGATTAAAATTTTTCTTAAATGTTTCTTTAGTTTTGAGAGAAAGACAGAGCGTGAGCAAGGGAGGGGCAGAGGGAGACACAGAATCCGAAGCAGGCTCAAGGCTCCGAGCTGTCAGCCCAGAGCCCGATGTGGGGCTCGAACCCATGAACTGCAAGATCATGACCTGAACCGAAGTCGGACACTCAACTGACTAAGCCACCCAGGCACCCAGAGAAACAAGATTTTAAAAAGCTATAATCTTTATGTCACTGGCTTAGACCTTTTATAAAATGGTCCTTTCTGACACCTCAAAATTTTCTACCAATAGCACATATTTCAAGAATCTGTCCCCAAAATGTACATAAATGTTCCATTTTGAGAGGTTGGATCACAGTCCTATTATATATTATGCACTGGCTTTTATGGAAATGCAACCAGCTGCATTTTCTCTAGCAATCTATCCCTTGTATGTCTAGATACTTAACAGGAGAAAATACAGTCCAGTGGTTCTGGTCTCACCACTGATAGTTCTGAAACTTGGGACAAGTTATTTAACTTCACCAACCTCATTTATATAATAGATCTCAGCTTTCTGGAAGGTTGTTTTAAGGGCTAAATTAGTGTCTTTAAAATGCTTAGCACTTTAAAATAGTGATTAGTAATGCTTAGCACTCAGTACTTTGATAAAATATGAGTTATGGCACAATTTTCAAGTCATCAAAATTTTACTCCTTAAATATTAAAAAACTTACCTGGCTATTTTTGATGAGTGCTTCAGCTGGATCACTAGTGCTTATGGTCTTCAAAGAAAAAGCTTTTTCCTGTTTTGGACGGACTTTAGAGGTATTCACTGGAAGCTCTTCTCTAATCTCTTTTTCTAATTCTTCCGTGTCCTACAGAGAAGAGTAGTCATTAGATGATATGAATCACTTTTTTACTAATTAAAAATCTACTTGGTTGGTGCTATTAATGTCCAAAAGATATTCCAAGAAAATAATTTCACGTCAGTAACTGTCCAAATGGCTTAATAGAACATATAAAAACAATCATTCGGGTGCTTGGGTGGCTCAGTCAGTTAAGCATCCCACTCCAGCTCAGGTCGTGACATCACGGTTCACAGGTTCGAGCCCTGAGTCGGGCTCTGTGCCAACAGCTTGGAGCCTGGAGCCTGCTTTGGATTCTGTGTCTCCCTCTCTCAAAAATAAACAAACATTAAAACAATTTTTAAAACAATCATTCAAAGATTTAAAATACACAGGTACATTTGGAACAGTCATCATCCCTGCTTTCTCCAGGGACTTAAATCAACTGTGAATTAAAAAACAATACACTCCCATCTTCAAATGCAAACCATTCTAATTTACTAAACCAATTCAAACAAAATAAACTAGAAATTTTTTCTTTTAAAAAAGCACAGTTAATCAGGTGATACTTGAACTAAGTATACTTTAGAAATAACATTTCACTTAATGACTTCTTCAAGGAACAAAATATTTGTACCTCAGTGCATTCTGTAGGTAAGTTAGGCTTACCTAGTAGAAAGGACAGTTCAGTTCTGGCCTGCTGCAGTCTGCCTGCGCAATGTCAAGGACAAATCATTTAGTTTCCCTTTAGCTTCCTCAACTATAAAATGAAATGTGCCTAGATAATTTCTAAGGTCCTACCTAAGCTTTAACATTTCTATTCTTAGGCCTTTGGACTTTAAAAAAGTTTCAAAAAATACTTCTACAGCACATTACATGCTTAGATATGTGAAATAAATATAACTTGAATATGTTAAATAGGACCATCGTTGTTAATTGTATTGTTCTTTAGCCAACACATACATATGAACACCTGGCTAGGATGATCTTGAAAGTCTTCTTCCAATATTGATTATTTTATAAAACTTGTTCAGGATGGTAGTTGAGTTTAGACAATAATTCAAAATTTTATTGTGAATTTAAATTGAATGAGTAGCTTTGGGTATGTGTGTAAGATTTGCCATCTGTGCAAAATTAACGTGAAGACATAAGTTACTTCCATCCTAAGCTGCACTATAACTAACGGTAAAGAAGCCCGCCAACCACATACCCACAATTAAAAAGAACAAATTCCAAAATGTATTACGGATAGGATGCTATACACTATGTACCTGACACAGAATTTTATGGATAGCTCATTTAATTCTCAAAGCAGCTATGCAGTTAAGTCACGTGTGCAAAGTCAAACAAACAAAAACAAGTAGTAAGGCAAAACTGAAATGTGAGTACAGATCTGACTCAAAAGCCTGTATACTTACTTCTCACTGTATTTGAAAACAGATCAAACATTTGAAAAAGGAGTATCAGAATACCAAAATAATGTTCACAAGTTCATGACCTTTAACCAGTAAACTGAAATTTACAGATTACATCTATCCCACAAAACTTCTTTTAAAAGGAAGTCACCTAATCCACAAAAGAGAAAAAAACAGGCTAAGTAAAGGCTATCCTAGAAATCACAGAAATCTAAGAAAAGTTTGGCTAAATAGATTTCAGACAGTATCACTAACAAAAGGTAACTGTCAATAACATTTCTCATCAACTAGCTCAGCTAAGAGAAGCACTCCTATTAGTTTTTCATATCCACTGATCTCAGTCACGTTAACTTTACTAGTGAGAAAAAACGAATACTGAAAACAGATTGGGGTCATTTATAACAGGTCACGTTTCCCTCAACAAAAATTACCAAACCCGTAATTCCTTAAAAACCCATGCAGCAACTTTCCCCAAAGAGAACAATAAACAGGAAAATTCTTTGTAGGCTATCTTCCAGAAACTCTGGCTATCTCCTACATTTAAAGGAATAAAAACAATTAGTCACAAGGTTGTAAGTAAGGAACAAGATTTTCTAAAATTTTTTTTTTTTTTTCAAACGTTTATTTATTTTTGGGACAGAGAGAGACAGAGCATGAACGGGGGAGGGGCAGAGAGAAAGGGAGACACAGAATCGGAAACAGGCTCCAGGCTCTGAGCCATCAGCCCAGAGCCTGACGCGGGGCTCGAACTCACGGACCGCGAGATCGTGACCTGGCTGAAGTCGGACGCTTAACCGACTGCGCCACCCAGGCGCCCCAAGATTTTCTAAGTTGTAAGGTAATGGTGATGGAACTTTCAAAGAGAAACCCATGCAGACTTCTAGTAACCTAGTGTGTTTGAAATTATAAGAACTTTGTTTTCATCTATATTATAATCTAAACATTTTACCCAAATAGGAAAGACCAATGAAGAAGGAAAATGTAGGGGTGACATAAATAGAAAGTTTCTGTTAGAAGCCAAACGAAAAGGGACTAAGTGAAACTGGGTGCAAACGCAGGGTAAGGTTCTGCCCAATTGTTCTGTGCTAAAATTCCTTTTTTAAAAATTGTATATGCTTTTTTTTAAAAGTTTATTTATTTTAAGAGAGAGAGAGAGAGCAGAAGCAGGGGAGAGGCAGAGAGAACGGGAGAGAGAATCCAAGCAGGCTCCGTGCTGTCAGTGCAGAGCCCGACACGGGGCTCGAACTCACAGACTTTGAGATCATGACCTGAGCGAAACCAAAAGCTGGATGCTCAACCAACCAAGCCACCCAGGCGCCCCATAACTGTGTTAAAATTCTAATTTGCTGAATCCCAGTTACTCAAAAGAAGTTTCTGTCTGTGAGCAACACTGCATCTCCTTTTCCATTCCACCCTAATATAAACCAAAATGCATCTAATTTAATTTATTTACCTTGGGTTTACACCTTTGGTATGATTTTTCCCCCCTTTGGTACGATTTTTTCAGAACAATACAGTTTTATTACGGTAGGATATATAAGATCTTTATAAGATCTTTAAAAGATTGTGACTTTTCGAATACTTTGCAAGTAAACCCGAGAGCTCATATTGTGTCTTTTATCTCTACATATAGTTTGGATCTGCATGTTCTTTTCACATTTTGGCAGTAGGTGCTTTATGAGTCACATCTGTTGTTTTGATGCCCTACCTGTGCAGGAGAGTTCTCGTCACCTTGCTTCTTCTTTTTCTTTTTTTTCTTTTTAGATTTCCCAGTTGGAAGAGCTCCCTCTCCCTTTTCCTTGTCATCATCTGAAACCTGATGTTAAAAGCAAAAGTATTAAAGTGAACCAATTGGTTAAGTTTTCATTATTCAGAAATTATGGCATAATCTCATTCATTAGGCTCAGTCTTTATCTCGTAAATTCTAAGCAAGAATTAGTAAGGAGTAATAAAATGGATCTAAAATTATGTATTAGAAAAGAACAAAGTAAAGAGAACTTCATTCTTCTATTGTCTACGACAGACCACTTTTTGTTTTTTTTACATCTTTCATCACTCACTGCAAGACAAATTAGAGGGCTGTGCAAACCTTGGTTTTTAAAACTCACTGGATAGGTAATTCTGTTTTGTTTCAGAGTTTAAATGCAGCACTATGTGCAATAAAAATGAATTTGACTCTGCTAAGAGAAAGACAAGCTCCAGAGTAGGAGAAAATATTTGCAAACCACATATCCAACAAAGGATTTGTATCTAAGAGTATATAAAGAAAATTCAATAGTAAATACTCCAATTAGAAAATGTGCAAAAAATATGAACAGACATTTCATGAAAGAGGACATACAGATGGCAAAGAAGCACATGGAAAGATGTTCAACATCATCAGCTATTAGGGAAATGCAAATTAAAGCCAAAATGAGTTCACTACATTCCTATCAGAATAGCTAAAATAAAAAACAGTGATGGCAGCAACCGCTGGCAAGGATGGAGAGAAATATGATCACGCATTCATTGTAGGCGGGAACGTAAAGTGATACAGCCACTCTGGAAAATAGTTCGGCAATCTCTTAATATATTAAATATGCAACTACCATACAACCCAGGATTATACTCCTGGACATTTATCCTAGAAAAAGGAACACTTATGTTCACACAAAAGCCTGTACACGAATGCATAATAGCAGCTTTATTCACAACAGTGCCAAGAGAAGAACAATCCTAATGTCCTTCAATAGGAAAACAGTTAAACAACCTGGGGCATATCCAGACTATGACTACTAAGAAGTAAAAGAACCAAGTAATGATACGTAACAATCTGGATGAGTCTCTAGAGAATTATGCTCGGTGAAAAAAACCCCAACAGTACAAAAAGGCTGCATGCTATATTATTCTATTCCTAGAACATTCTTGAAATGACAAAATTATAGAGATGGAAACAGATTACTGGTTGCCAGGGGTTACAAGGGGGTGGTGACAGGAAGGAAGAAAGGGTGGCTATAAAAAAAGGGAAACATGAGGGATCCTTACAGAATGGAAATGTTCTGTATCTTAATTGCATTAATGCCAATATCCTAGTTGTGATACTGTATTATAGTTTTCCAAGATGTTATCACTGGGGGACACTGGGTAAAGAGTACAGAGGATTTCTCTGTATCATTTCTCACAAGTGCTTGTCACTCTACAGTTACCTCAAAATTAAAGATTTAATTTAAAAAATCGATTTTGAGTGGTGCCTGGGTGGCTCAGTCAGTTACGTGTCAGACTTTGGCTCAGGTCATGATCTCCAGATTTGCGAGCCCTACGTTGGGCTTTGCACTGATAGCGTGAAGCCTACTTTGGATTCTCTGCCGTCTTCTCTCTCTGCCCTTCCCCCACTAGCGTTCTCGCTCAAAAATGAACATTTAAAAAAATTGAATCTGAGCTGGAATGTCACTGAAAACAACATTCTGCATGATTAAAATAGTGAATTAGAACTGTTAAATTGGTATCCATAAGATCCTTTCAAACATACCATGAAGTTGACTTTTCTATGAAAAAGTGCTTTTTGTGTCTTCTGCACAGATGAAAGCCAAGATTCCTAGCCTACCCTTACAGGACGAGATGATGGGGTGACTACTATTTGTCTGCTCAGCAGCACAGTCATTAGGATGATTATGGAGGTCTCATGAACCACCAAATAGTTCACAGAAATTACTAGCAAATGGAAAAACAAAACCCTATACAAACTTAGCTAAGAGATTTTCAGTCCAAGTTGGTTGCCAGCTGTGGAGAAACCTCCACAGAAGTTTTCACCAGAAGCTCACAGTGATTAAAACACCACGTGCAAAAAAATGCATCCTCTGAAGGATATTCAGGTCCCAAGGACTCTGGGCAGTCTGCTTCTTAGCCAATTAAAATCCAACCATAAAGGAAATATAGTTCCTCATGCCTAAACACTATTTTTGTTTATGGGGAAAAGGCTGAAACCAACTCCATACCATTTTTAACTCCTATGAAAGAACTTTTGACAAATTTATTTTAGACTAATTGCAAGTAAAAGACATTACCGATAAACTTAAAATTCCTTTACACCCCCCTTCCCGATCCCATTCCCACACTACCTCCCCTAGGGGTAAACCATTTACCATGAACTTCTTTCATGTCCATTCCATCAAGTTTTTTATAAATTCAGGTGTGTTTACACACACACAAAATTTACACAAACGGTATCATATTGTATCTTTCTGTAAACCTGTCCTCCATCATTCAGCATGTTTTTTGAGATTTTATTCATGTTGACATTAATGTACCTTATTTCACTGATTTTTAACATCTAATATGCAACTGTACAGACCTATCACATTTTAGTTCTCCATTCCTCAACTGATGGGCATGTAGATGGTGTCCCATTTTTACTAAGAAATATGAAAGATGATCTCTGAATACACTCAAAAAAAGAACTGCTATGATATATGATAGTCTTCATTCCATTCAGTGGTTCTACTCTGTAATTCTGATGATAAGGCACAAGGAAGTTTCAGTTAGAGAAATATATATATATATTTTTAAATTTTTTTTTAATGTTTATTTATTTTTGAGAGTGAGACAGAGTGTGAGTGGGGGAGGAGCAGAGAGAGGGAAACACA